AGTTGTCAGCACCTCAGAATATCCAAAAACACCCTATGCCCAGAGGCTACGGAACTAAGGAACAGATCACATTTATTTACACAGAACGCAAAATGTAAATATGGCCCCAAATAGGACTTTAATAAAGTTTTAAAAAATAAATGGAAAAGTGAGAAAGTATCCCTATCCCTACTTAGGGAAATTATCCCTAATACGTAAAGTTATCAAATGTTCTATAGAAAAAGCTCATATAAGTCAGATTAAGTCAATAAAAATTAATAGGAAAATGGACAAAGGGCATGAACAAGCAATTCAAAGAAAAAAATACAGTGTGAAGTTCACACGAGTCTGTGTGTCACAGTTTTGTGAATGGCCAAGTGTTCTCATGATGTAAGGAGTCTATGCCACTCGCCTTAGTAATGCTCCAACAGACTGTTGTCCTGATTTCCACTCTCCTGGCCAAGTCTCTCTTGGGTGGACGGCACATTAGGCTTACAGAAGGTACTCTTTAGTCTCTGTGGACTATTTATTTCTTATAAAGGGAATTCATGACAATACTTATAAGGATACTGCCCAGTGGTATGTTGGTAAATGTTTAACAACAGCTCTCCTGGAGAAACTACCCCCTGGCTTGTAATATTTATCAGTTTCCTTAGTGTCGTTGCAACTTCCAAGCCTGAGTTCAAGATACCAACAAAATGTCACTGACTATTGGGAAGACGTGCACACACACGGTAACATACCATCATACACTATTTCTACCTCAAAAGCAGAGGTAATGGTGAAGTGTAGTAAAATCATTAGGAAGTGACATTTGTTTTTAATATGTTATTGAATCATAAATGTATATGGTTTAGCATCTAATAATGGCCAAGTTCAAGAGCGTTCTGACAAAAATTCCTGAAAACTTAACAGCTGGCTCTCATGAGCCCGTACAAACTGACTCCAGCAAAGCCCCGAGACTCCCACAGTGCAAGATGTTACAGATACCTTTTTGCCTGGAAAAATCACAGTCATTTATTCCCTTAGTGGATACCCAGATCTCCCTGTGTTTTGGACAACACATGTGTCTGTATGGTGACAGGCAGCGTCTATGTTGAAGCATGTGTCTGTATTCACAGCTCCCTGGGCTTGGTGTCGGGGCTGGACGGCGCAGTAGATTAGGAAAGGCACCCACTCTGGAGTCAAATAAACCAGTACTGTTCTGCATCAATGTACCATTTAATTAATCTTTGGCTCTTATAATTTACTGTATTACCTACGTAATAAAAAAGAGATCCAGCAGGTAGAGAACATTCTTAAACATAAAGCAGATGTGAGGTTTAAGGACTGACATCTGTACAGCACTCAGCAGCTAACAGGAGCCTAATACATACTAGGACCCTTTCTCGTTAGCGAGCATCTCCACAGCTCCAGGTAAGGGATTGGAGCTATTTAGAGAGACCTGCAGAGCCAGGCAGCGTCAGGACACGGCAGGCTGAATGAGACTCCTTTGCTTTTTACCTGATTTGGAAATCAGGTTGGGAGAAACACTGACTTTATCATTCTGGTGCCTGGCAACGGTCTGTCGCCTCATCCCCAAGGCCAGCTGCCGTCGTGTGGCAGGCTCTACAGATAGAGCTGTCCTCGGTTCGTGGGGATACTATTCCTCTGGGTCACCCAGGTCGGATGCATAACCGGTGCCCTTCATTCTTGGGATCAATCTCCGCCTCATATAGTTCTGCAGCCACAGAGCCAACCCAGGAGGTGCTCAGTGCTGCTTCTCTACTCTGCATTGACCTCCCTGGTCTATAACAAGCATTTATTAAACTTATTGGAAAAATAAGTACAAAGCTTTTCAACGGGACAACTATATATGACAGTGATTTGAATTCTTCCCTAATTAACTGATCAAATCACATGCTTTGCACTTGTGAATGGATTGTTGTTGTTTTTTTTAGAACATCAGAAATTTACTCTAAAATGTATTTCAGAAAATATAGAGGTGGATTTACCCAACAGTTGTCTAGGGTAGAAGAAATACAAGAGTTCTCATTTTCCCCAAGAAACAGTATAATCAATAATGAAGGGCAGAGGTAATGGTTTGAACAATGACGACAAAACTTAGTAACACATCTAAAAACAAGATATGTGGTAGGATATGGAAGGGATATGGAAGGATTCACCAAACAAATAAAAAAGAAGTACTTGATGAAGGGGGAAAGCTGAAATGCCTTCTGCTCACTCTATCTGTCCAAATCAAACTCTCTTTTCAAGTCCCAGCCCAGGTCCCGAAGAAGCCTCCAGTAAACAGTTCTTGGATGCCCATCCCCTGAACTCCCATGACTACACAACATGTTATCTCTTACCGCTTTGTTTCTTCTTTCATCACATTCTGTACTGTTGTCTTTACAGAGAGTCAAACTGTCCTATTTTAACATCATCTGGTTTTGAGGGCAGAGAACAGGTCCTGTACTTTCCCGTAAGCTTCCTATAAGAGGCAGTAATTCATGAAAGAAGCAAAGCGATGAAGTCACAAATGAACCAACACTATGGATTTGGGCAGAGCACAGCTTCTGTGGCACCCAGTTTCCTCATCCGGCCTTACCCAAGGAGCTTACAGGCATTCAATTTACAAATGAAGCTTTTGCTGTAAATGTGGCCGACTGGCCTGGGGTCAGTGTGACAGGCATCTCCGAAAAGTGATGTGACTTTCCCCAACAACCCCTCCTCATCCCCTGCATAATAAAAATAGCCAGGAAGGAACCCTTGGTGTTCACTTGAGATCTTATCCTTTATTTCCAGGTTTCTCTAGTTTGTATCTCCTCTAGGACAGTGTTTTCAGATGTAGGGTTGGTGGATCGCCTCCTCAGATCTCCTGTGGCCCTGGGGAAATACGCAGATTCCTGGACACCACCCCCCCACCCTGCCCAAGGCTGTTGGATCAGATTCTCAAGTGGGAGGCAAGGCCTGCATCTCCCACGTGACTCTTCTGTACTCTCAAGTTTAAGAGTCTCTTACTGAGAAGAGAAGGGAGAGAGGAGAAAGAAGCATGTTAGGTGGCTCCTATAGGCCTGGTACTGGTATTTAAGATGCCTCCATGGATTCTCACACCACTAAAGGTCAATTTTATCACTCTCTTTCAGAGAGGAGTCTCAGACACTAATGTACCGATAAGACAGATTGCCAAAGGCCCCACAGCGCGTTAGTACTCAGACCGGATCCTGATGCAGGTCCATCTGGCCCCATGTCTTCCCTTCTTTCCACGACATTACAGTGCTCACCCCACTACTACCCAGGGCACCTCTCTATTTGCAGACATTTGAGATCCCGGGTTCCAGTTGATATTTTCTATGTTGACCAAAGGGACTTCTGAGATGCTATTCCTACTCCACCGATCATTTTCCAGAAGAGCTAAAAGCTCAAAAAGCTCCTGGAAATTTCTCATCTACCTATGGTGGGTATGTGTTTATCACCTCTCCCCCAACTGCAATATCACATGGGTTGGGTAGGAATCCTCCACACCTGCCCTTAGCGCACGCGCGCGCGCACACACACACAACTATACCTGAGCTTTATGGGACAGGCACTCTATATAGACGCATGCTGCCATGGGAACATGGGTACAGAATATGTAGCTGGTTTTCCTCTTTCTTGTACAGATATTTTCAAAACAGTGTTTCTTTGGTGATATCTTTTTTAGTCTCCTCGTTTCCTTGACTACATAATGAAAGCCTCTGGGTGCTTTTTAGTAGATCCTTCTCTACTGAGCTTGGTGGCTGAATGAGTATTCCTATTCTTGATTCAAAGTCTATTGTATTAATTATATCATTCATCTATTTGCAACTGAATCTCAGAATATGTTTGCATAAAACACCTCCCTGCCCAAGAATTTACGATCATATCCTCTCTACTCCATCAGCTCAAGTTCTTCTCTTGCTTTCAAGGGCTGGTGTTGCCCTGTCCCTCTCTGCTCAAACCTTCTCCTGCCACCTCTATTCCAGACCCAGGTGTTATTTTGAATCTCTATGCCTATGTTCATACTGGTTCTCATGTGAGGTTCTAATCCAATTTCTAATTAAGTTGTTAAAACTCTCTAGGACTATTTCTTTATTTACCACAAAGAGCTTCCATTGATTACTAGAGCTACCATTTGCTACCCTAAGTATTTTATACATGTTTTCTCAAATCCTAACACCCATTAAAAGGGTTACTATTGTTCCCACTGTACAGATGAAGAAACTGAGACTGACAGAGAATAAGTAAACTGCCCCAAGGGACACAGCTAATGAGGATCCAAGGAATTGGAACCTGTTAAGACTTTTCCTTTCCTTTTTTTCAGTGAAGTTTTCCTCCACTGTTCTACTCACTTCTGCAACCAGGTGTGCATGTGTGTGTGTGGAGGGGGGTCCCCACTCCGACCAGTTCTCCAGCACCAGCTGGGCATCCTGTCCAATCCAGTTCTGACAGGATCCACCTGGAGTTAGCATTCAGCTCCCAAAAGGGCCCTGATCCACAAGACTGTCCCCTCAATCCAGATGCAATTGCACATCCGGCGTTATCACCTGCACCTCTAACCAACTGGCTATAAATCGGTGTTCCCACAATCCCCTCCTCAGGTTTGGTAATTTCCTAGAATCGCTCACAAAACTTAGGGAAACACTTGCTTACATTTACCAGTTTATTATAAAGGCTATGATAAAGGATATAGACTAACAACCAGAAGAAAAGATACACAGGGGAAGGGCCGGAAGGGTCCTTAGCACAAGAGGTTCTCTTCCCGTGGAGCTGGGGTGCACTACCCTCCTAGCATGTGGATGTGTTCACCAGCCAAGAAGCTCTATGAATTGATCCTTTGGGGATTTTTTGGGAAGCTTTATGGTATAGGCATGATTGGTGATGAACTCAACCTTTAGTCCCTCACTGAAAGTTGTAGAGAGTGGGCCGAAAATGCCAACCCTCTAAGCACAAGGCTGGTTCTCCTCACCCTCGGGTCTTTCCAAAAGTCACCTCATTAAAATAAACTGAGGTGTGGTTGAAAGGGGCTTCTTCTAAATAACCAAAGACACTCCTTTCCCCTTTATCTCCTCTTACCACTTAGGAAATTCCCAGGGCTTTAGGAGCTCTGTGCTCAACTTATGTTCGGTCCACAAATTCTGTGATACCCCTCCTTTCAAGAATTGGAGCTTAATTCTACTTCTCCTGCTGTGGGTGGCACTTAGTGACTCTCTTCTAATGACAGTATGTGGCTTCTGAGACTAGATCATAAAAGGCATTAGCGCTTTCCCCTTGCTCTCCCTCTCAGATCACTGGCTCTGGGGGAAGCCAGCTACCATATTGTAATAATACTCAAACAGCCCAGTGGAGAGGTCCACGTGCAAGAAACCGAGGCCTCCTGCCAACAGCCAGCAAAGAACTGAGACGTTCTGCCAACAGCCATGTGAGTGAGCCCTCTTGGAAGAAGATCCTCCCATCTCATTCAAGCCTTCAGATGACTGCAGCCCAGCCAAATCTGAATTCCAGCCTTAGGAGAGTCCCAAAGCTAGAACCACCGGCTAAGCTGCTGTAGAATTTTTGGTCGGCAGAAACTGTGAGTTTTTTTAAGTGCCTAAGTTTGAGGTCGTTTGTTTCACAACAATAGATAACTAATAGACAGGCTTCTCTATAAGACATCCCAAGCACTATTTCATACCTACTCTCTTTTTTCCTACTCACGTACTTTGAAGTGAAGGATTCTGAACCTCTAGAAGGCCACGGATGGAAGGAGGCAGGATCCCTGAGTCACTGGGAGCGGAGGTAACCTAGAAGGCCATCCCTTCTGTGTTAAACCATAGGTTCGTGCTACTCACTCTGTGAATATGTCCTCCTTCTGACTTCGCAGAGCATTTATTAGTCTTGACCACACAGGATAAAATTATTTGCCTTTTTTCCATGAACATCAAACAAGTGGTTAGAAGATGCTTGGCAGTATGTGCTTTGCAAGCATGTATCAATTAATCCTCATAATTTTTCAGATGTGGAATCTGAGACAGGGGAAGGGACTTGCTCAAGATCACATAGCCCAGAAGAGGCAAAGCTGCTAAGTGTTCTGATCTAAACTCGGAGCTCTCGGCCTCTCTGACCTGCTCCCTCCTTTGTACCCCACACAGTGCCCAACACAGTCTCTCGCATACAGTTGTTGTTTAATCAATGTCTGTGACTGCATGAAAATGTGAATGGACAAATGGTAATATATTAAGAAGGGAAAGGTCATGGAAGTTCACAAATAGTCCAAAAAACCTGTTGTCCTGAAATCTTGTTTTCCTCTTACAAATGCCCTCTTTTACTCGTATGCATCTGAACTTTAGGGTGTTAGTGGCTAGAACACATAAAGAGATTCATTCACCGGAGGAAAAGCATGCTTCGAGAATACTAGGAAATTCTTCATAAAGTCTACAGCTTTAAATAAAGAGCTCGAAGTGCTTCAGGACGTCAAACAAATTCGGGACTTTCTGAAGAGCCAACTCATTAAGTAAAGTCACTGTAATCCACGGGCACCTTTTAAGGAGAGGACAGGAACTACTGTACCGATGGGTGCCCATTTCTCTAGAGACCTGTGTCCATTCACGGGGCCTGGGGAGGGGAACCTCGGCATGACGACAAAGGCCGAATTGTTCTCTTCAGAACAACATGCTAATGCAGTGAAAGAGTGGGTGCCCTGTGTACCAAGGAAGAAAGGCCGTAAATGAGTCCCTGGCACCAACACAGCAGGTCAGCCTTAACAAAGAGGGGGACAGAACTCCCTGCCAAAGACCAGTCTCAGCAAGCTTCTTCTAGGAGTGAAAACCCTATCAGATTTAAACTAAAACAGCTTAATTTCTCAAGTACGCAGGCAGTGCAGCCTGGGAAAAAGAAGACTATCCCTTCCTAGGGAGGGGAGATAAGTAATGAATAGTCTCAAAGTCCAGGTCTTTCTTTCTGATTTATTCAGAATTGGTATTAGCTTCAAGCCACTGCCCTATTTCCAAGTTCACACCTGTATCTATTCCAGTCCCCCCAAGGAGAGCTTAAACCTTCCTGATTGTAAACATTCTTTTTCCTGAAATTAAAAAAAAAAATGTTTAAAGTGGTTAGATTTGGGGAGAGTTAGGGGGATCAGGGAAGGGGGAGACATTTGTTTTCCATTTTTACCTTCTTGTATTAATGTTTTATTGCATTATACTTTACTTCTTTAAATGTTAGAGTCCACCAGGGCGAGGATTTGACTATTTGGGTCTTCATTTTCCCATCATTCTGTTTCAAAGAAATTATATTTAATTTTTCTAAGTTTTTTAACTACAAATCTCTGCTCTAAAACAACACTTCCTGTTCCCATAAGCAAAAACCTTGCTTCTCAGAGAAAAGTCCATTCAGTGTATGTTCCTCAGAGCAGAATATTACAAAACACCTTCACTGAACGACAACAACAACAAATGGGTTACTGGGTTTTTCTGTAATTTTACTATTGTGTAAGATGGCATAACCACATACTACTCTTTTATAGAGAGCCATGGTTTCTAACTCAGGATGATCCCCCCAACCCCCCCCCCCCCCCACCAAAGGATGTTTGGCAATGCCTAGAAACATTTTTGGTTGTCATAAGCAGGGGTGTGTGTCCTACCAGCACCCAGAGAGGCTGCTAAATACCCCCACGGTGCACAGGGCAGTCCCCACAACAAAGAATTATCTAGTCCAAAATGCCAATAGTGTCCAGGTTGAGAAAACCTCACTTGTTGACTCCATTGCATAATATGTAGAAATTAAACTTGTGCTCAAGGAATAAGTGATTCGATGGGAGGGGAATCATCTCTTAATTATTTGGTTGACACAGCAAGTGTGAGGTTGAGATTGGCCAGATTCGGGAGCAGGAGTTTGTGTCCATTCTTCCTGGATATACCAGGTACTTGATAAATGCTTCGAAATAGAACTGAAACCCTACTGTAGTCTGTATTCATTTACATAATAAGTATTTGTTGAATCTCTGCTTTGTTATCAGGTAAACACAGATAGTAAAAGACTGTCCAACTAGAAGCACATCTGTCTTAATAAAAACTGAAGTGCTCAGGCCATTTCTAAATATTACAATCAACATTTTGGCCAGGATAGGTCTTGGGAGAACTAAAATGAAAGAATGAACCTGAACCATTCAGCAATTTTACATATTAAACGTGCATAGGATTAATTTCTAGTATGGCTGACTTCATCATACAGTAATTATAAAAAAAAAAAAAAAAAAAACCTATCCTTTGGGGAGAGTCAGGTTCTCAAAGGGCACCAATTCAGGGGGCTTAAGTAGGCTCAACGAATCAAGTAAGAATTTAAGCCCGGGACACGGACAGAGAGAGCTTCTGGTATTTTGCTTTGATTTCTGACCGGTCCCCACCCTAACCAGTTGTCTCAGGACAGGAGGTACTCCTGGACTTCCCTCCACAGCTACAATAGCCGGAAGGATGTGAGTGTGTGGTCCCAGGGGCTGGACTTGGCTCCTCACTCAGAATGGGCTCATTAGGAAAGTTCCCAAACTCTCCCTCCCTAAGCAATCACGAATCCACAACTAATTCTCCCCCATCAAAGTAAGCCTCTTAAAAATATTTTCCCTTAAACTTAAAGAAACCCCAGCAGGATGAATTCTCTCAGAAGTTTAAAGAGTTGTAGCATTATTGATCCATCAACAATGCCTTGAATTAGCGCCTAAGAGCACAAAGCAGCCCCTGTACGTTTTCACAAGTCCCTGGGGAATTTTCTACGCCAATGAAAACAAGTTACACTTTAAAAAGAAATTTACCGAGAGCATCATTTCTAACCACCAATGTAACATCTTAATACAGTTTTTTGTTAGTTTAGGATTCAGACTTTTTTTTAAAGATTTTATTTATGTATTCGACAGAGAACACAGTAGGCAGAGCGGTGGGCAGAGGCAGAGGGAGAAGCAAGGAGCCCAATGCGGGGCTCGATCCCAGGACCCTGAGATCATGACTTGAGCCAAAGGCAGATGCTTAACTGACTGAGCCGCCCAGGCGCCCCTAGGATGGACATTTTTTTTTTCTAACAATAACAACAAAAGAAATGCAGCTACAAAGTATGATGATCAAATGGATGTATTTGCAAAAACTATATTGCAAAGGTAATTCTCTCCTATTTGTGGTTACTTTTAAGTTGCAAGAGCGCACTGATACCAACTCAACTGGGCCAAAACCAAAGCTGACCCAGGACTGGCTGAACCCATGGAGCTGAGGTCAGAACAAGTGCTGTCTGACCTCCCTGCTGGGCAGGAGTCTGACATGGATTCTATCTGTCAGGCCATCTGGGCTAGGACGGCTCCTGCTTGACCTTGCCTCCTGCTCACAGTGGAACTTAGCTTGGACCCAACCCCAGTTCTGTGGATGGCCAAAGCCCGAGTCAGTACCCAGAGCCTATTCTCAGTCTCAAGGTTCGGGTGCCCTGGTCTGGCATGCAAATAGCCTCGACTCCTTGGGGTTCCGTCAGCAGATGCTGGGTCCAGGACCAGCCAACCAGTCCTGGGTGAATCCCACAGCTTCTCAAATCCAAGGGCTTTGACTGGAGCCAGAAAAAAATTATGGGAATGCAGCAAACCCTTTGCCCTACTGCATTCAGCCCCGGGTCAGTCACAATGGGTGTTCAGAACTCCTAGTCCTATGTCATCAATCAAAGACAGACAACTTCCACTAAGAGCTAAAACCCTGGGCAGGCTGTCTGGCTTTAAATCATGCGTTGTGTCACTTTGGAACTATGGAAGGAGTTAAAGCTCAGCATGTTCCTTGACTTTAACTCATTCCAGTTTCTGGGATGAGAACAAAGAAAACATCAGCAGTTGCTCATCAGCAGAGAAGTGCACTCCACTCTGGGCCCAGCGCTGTATTTTTGCCCTTAACTCGGAATTTCCTCTCACCTACAGTTTCCACACGAATCCTTTGTTTTGCCGAATGATGGCACATCTATTCGTTTTTGTTCATTTACTATGTGCCGGACAGTGTCTTTAGTGCTTTATACACACTAACGTATTGATATTTATGTATTTATACATGTACATATGTAGAATCATAAATTTATCACAAAATGTACATATAATGGGGTTGCATAAATTCCAACAAAGGGTGCACTTTTTTCAGTTTTGTGACTAAATGTACTTTCTAATATTTTTAACTGAAGTCTCACGTGCCTATTTTAAGAAAGTAAGGAAAATTTTATAAAGAAAAAGCGAATTACCTTGTTGTTGTTCCCTTCCAGACCCGTCCTCCTGAGGTAGCACCGAAAGTTCAAGAGTGGGGTAAACCTTCTGATGGGGGCACTAAAAAAGGCTTTAAAAGCAACCCAAGCCTCAAAGCAAAAGATTAGCATGGAAAAAAGCATAACACTCTTTCAGAAAAAATTAAGAGATGAAGTGGAAAACAAGATAAAGGAAAAGACCCACAGCCCTGGCACGGAAAGAGGTTAAAAAGCGTAGCCGTCATTGGTGGAGGTGAGAGTGATGAAGAATGGGCCAGAAGTCGGTGTCGACCTGGGGTAGTGGGGAGAGGGGACGATGCAAAGTTTTGGGCCTTCCATCATTTATCAGTGAGTTTCTAACTGTTAGAGAAAAGGAGCATCTAGTAGTTACATTCAGCAGACGTTTCCTTTCAAGTTGAGACACGTGCTCTTTTGAAAATAGCCCCTTTACCTTCTGCTCATACACCCCGGGACTGCATCTGAACAGTCTGCCAATGCCAAAAAGAAGTCTTGTCCTTATTCCTCTGGAATAGGGCAGCCTCAAAGGGAAATCTGGAAACATTTGTCGACAGAGACCCAGCATCTTCCAAGAACCTCTGTTCTTCCCCGTGATGTGTGCTGGACACTTTGGGCCCTACCTCCAAGAAGGCTTCGAAGCCAAGGGAAGTTCCCAGATGCCCTGGAGAATAGGATCTAGGGTGGTCAGTGCCAAAGGGGTCCTTTGTGGAGCCAAAATGCAGCACAACATAGCAGAGGAGATTCTGAGTACAGGGATTCTGAGTACAAGGGAGTAATCAGGACAGAAAAATACTATAAATCCTGCAGGGTCACCATCACAACCCTCAGCGTAAAATGAAGGCTTCAGGCTCCAGGGACCACAGTTCCAGCTGCAAAAATGTTATAGACTGAGCATCTTTGTCTTCCAAGGAGACCAAAACAAAGATCAAATAATGGAGGGCGTAGGAAATGGGAATATAGAACTCCCTAGCTTGCTGACCTCAACGCTGCATGTGATTTAGAAGCTTTGTTGTATCACATAGTCATCAGTCTCTTGGCCTTTTAAAAATACATGTGTTTATAGTTATTTCATATCTGCATAGAGAACTCTTAACCTCTCCCCAGAGCTAATTAACAATTCTTAATGAGGGCAGGTGTCTTGACTTAAACTTCAAAGTGTGGAAAGTAACAACGGGCCATGGTTTAGAGGGTATTTGTTGAAGGCCATAGTTCAGCATCCTGGCTGCACATTAGAATCACCTGGAAAGTTTTAAAATGTTGATGCCTGGAATCCATCCTCAGAAAGTCTGATTTAATTGTTTTGGGGGTAAAGCCAGGTTATCCATACTATTTTTGCAAGTTCCCCCAGGAGATTTGAATGTGCAGGTAGCCATGAGAAACATAGGGCTAAGATCATTGGGATCCTATGGGATCCTAGCCACCCATTCCTACGAGGTGCACAGAGAAGAAAACAAAACAGGTAACTCTTTTTGAGGAGGTTCAGCCCAAATATCATTGCAGTACTGTAGTGAACTAGGCTGGGCCTAATGAATATTTTTGCCTGCACCTGAATAGCCAAAAACCGAAGCTAAATGGAAAGCTAACTGTTCCTCTCCATCGCCAAGTCCAAACCAAAGTGTCCGTTGACACCACTTTAATAAGAGAGACAGCCACATCCACCAGCAGAAAGCAGAACCAGTCATATTTTGCCACTCCTATTTTAACCAAGAAAGGATTAATATCTCAAAACAGAAGGAAATACAAACCCATAAGAAAAAGTCAACAACCCAATGGAAAAATGAGCAAAGAATAGAAACAGCTAATAAAAGAGAAGCCTCTGACATCCAACACACATGAAAAAATCTTCCTCTCTCCTGACCAGGGAAAGGCCAGTTATAATCACAAAGGAGATAGATACCATTTCACACTTAACAGAACGACTAAAATCCAAGTTTGGTGATACCCAATGTTCGCAAGGATGTTGAGCAACAAGAACTCACATATTACTAATGGGGTGTCGATGTGCACAGCCACTTAGGAAGGCAATTCTGCAGTCTCTGTGAATGTAGACGATGCTCACACCCTTCGAGGAATCCATTTCCCCTTAAGGATTTGCCACTGGGATAGGTACAGGAAAAGACAGACCGGTATGCAAACAGTCCACTGCAGCACTGTCTGTCTGTGACTCGATTAGAAGGACTGTCCTCCAATAGTGGTTTCAGCATCGTACAATGACATAGTATACTCAGTTAAAATGAATATCTACATATTTCAACATAGATTAATCTTAAATATGTTAAAAGTGCAAGTTACAAAATGTCATTTTCGGTATGATACCCTTTATGTAAAATATTAAAACACACACATATGTGTGTGTGTGTATACTTACGAACAAATATATAGAAAAAGTATAAAAACATGAGCAGGAAAAAGGCACATGAATAAAAAAGTTATTACCTTTGGGGAGACGCAGTTATCTCAGTTGAGATTGAGGAGGCATTTTGACTCCAACTTAAATGTTCCTTCCTTCCTTCCTCCCTCCCTTCCTTCCTCCCTTCCTCCCTCCCTTCCTCCCTCCCTTCCTTCCTTCCTCCCTTCCTTCCTTCCTTCCTTCCTCCCTTCCTTCCTTCCGGTTTTTTAATCTAAGCACATGCGGCCAAATGTTAATAATTTTAAAACCCGGGTAAGGTAAATGTGTACTGTTATGTTTTTATCTGTATCTTATAAAACATTTGAAATATTTAATAACTTTTTAAAAACTTTTTCAGAGGAAGAAAAAAAAAAGAAGCCACGAGTACCTCCTCGGGGAGCGCTGGTCTCTTCCTTTAATACTGAGCTGGCCAGGGGCGCCTGGGTGGCTCAGTTGGTTGAGCGACTGCCTTCGGCTCAGGTCATGATCCTGGAGTCCCGGGATCGAGTCCCGCATCGGGCTCCCTGCTCGGCGGGGAGTCTGCTTCTCCCTCTGACCCTCCCCCCTCTCATGCTCTATCTCATTCTCTTTCAAATAAATAAATAAAATCTTTAAAATAAATAAATAGATGTTATTCCATTTGCAGTTCAGAGTGTGGCAAATGAAAAGTACAAACAGGGGCGCCTGGGTGGCTCAGTTGGTTAAGCGACTGCCTTCGGCTCAGGTCATGATCCTGGAGTCCCGGGATCGAGTCCCGCATCGGGCTCCCTGCTCGGCGGAGAGCCTGCTTCTCCCTCTGACCCTCCCCCCTCTCATGCTCTATCTCATTCTCTCTCTCTCAAATAAATAAATAAATAAATCTTAAAAAAAAAAAAAATACTGAGCGGGCCAAACAGCTGCGCTGGGTCCGCTCGCCGACGGGGGCGGAGACTGCGGGGTCCCAGGTGATCCGTCTCACAGCCACCACGTCAGGCTCCTGCGGCCTCACCAATGTCCACTTAATGACTCGGCTTTGGAACGCGGGTGAGATTCCATCTCATTTCCAGAGCAACACACAAACCCTGGAGTGAAGCCATCTCTGTACTACTGTAATGGGTGTTTTATGTGGATTAACTGTTTGAATTGTATTTAACCTATATTTGATGTGTTTCAAATGCCCTGGCCCCTATGAAAGATCAGGTTATGAGTCATTCGCGAGCGAGTCGAGGGGAAATTGGAAGCAGCTGGGAGATTGGAGCCAGTGCCCAGGGCATCTTCTGGATGAGAAAACCGAGACTCGGGAGGCACTGGGGCTTGTCGGAGCCTGTGGCTTTGCCATTGCTGGACCCAGGGCTCTGGTCTCTTGACTCCCTGCCCAGTGCTCAGACCCCAGGCTGCCATGGGGCTCCTTTTCAGGGACGGGTGAAATACTCTCAGGGGAGAGAAAACTCGAAAAATCTGAAGCTTTTCACCCATTCCTTTTTTTCTCTGTGGTGTTGCTTTAGCTCTAAAAATTTACTGAAACTAAGTTATTACACATTTTAGGTAACCAGTTTGAGGAGCCTCAACTTGAAGAAGGAGATGGCTTTATATATTTTTTTAAAGATTTTATTTATTTATTTTTTTTAAAGGAATTTTCTGTTGTTTTTTTTTTTTTTTTAGATTTTATTTATTTATTTGAGAGAGAGAGAATGAGAGACAGAGAGCATGAGAGGGAGGAGGGTCAGAGGGAGAAGCAGACTCCCTGCCGAGCAGAAAGCCCGATGCAGGACTCGATCCCGGGACTCCAGGATCATGACCTGAGCCGAAGGCAGTCGCTTAACCAACTGAGCCACCCAGGCGCCCAAGATTTTATTTATTTATTTGAGAGCACGCGTTAAAGAGCACAAGCAGGGGCGGGGGTGGGGGTGGGGGAGGAGCAGAGGGAGAAGGAACAGCAGACTCCCCGACGACGAGCAGGGAGCCTGACGGGGGCTGGATCCCAGGACCCTGGGATCACGACCCCATCCGAAGGCAGACACTGAACCGATTGAGCCGCCCAGGCGCCCCTGGCTTTATATTTTGTTAATTACTGCTTTCAACCATGTCCTTTCATATCACCCGTTTCATCCCCTAGTGTTATTTTAGGCAGTTTTGACATCTCTCAGGTCACTTTCAGTTACTAAAATTTGTCCATATTAACCTCATAAGCGATTCAAAGCTCGACGCCCCTTCTCCAGAGCAGGCTTGGAATGGGTGTGTGTATTTGGGGTACGGGTGGGACCTACTGTGACACCACCACCCCCTTTCTTCTCAGGGGCTCGCTCTCTCTTTATGGGGTGGAGGCGCTAGCTCTCTTACTGGGGGCTTCGAGATGGAGACACTTAAGGAGTCTGCTTCTGTGGCTAGAGGTTCTCTGTTGGGGATGGGGAGGTCACTGGTGTCACACGGGTTTGTAGTGGTTTTCTCTGAAACTGGAGGCCTCTATTAACCAAGAGCCCATTATGGTGCCAGGGCCAATTAAAAACCGGTGCCCCCAGGGAACATTCTGGTTGCTGTACATGCTTTCTACCTTGCCCTACTTTCCCCTAAGGCATCCATAGGAATAGTAGGGGCTCATCAGTCAGGCCTTTCAAAGCCAAGGGTACTGCAGAGAGCAGGCTGTTGGAGAACATGCACTACACACGTGTGGTTTTCCAGGCTCTGACGCTTTCCCAGCAGGCCTCCTCTGATCCAGTGTAGCTGCCAGAAAGAGGTTGAATCCCTCACAGACGTGGGTAAGGCCTTGCTTTTACCCTGAGAGGAATCTGTTTTACTCCATTAAACTAAGGACTGGTCCTTGAGTCCCAGTGAATAATTTATCAGTAATTGCATCCACTGCAATTTGAATTGCATTCAAAACCAAGCGGGGGAAGGAGGAAGAAAAACACAATAGGCCTCACGTAGCCAGGTGGTAATGTCAAAGGTGAGAGAGGAAGCATTCAAAGCATTCATTCAAATGGCCATTTTGTCCTGTTTGGTTGTAGGGAGGAAGGAAGAGAGCAGAGGGGAAGAAAGACAGGCTTGTTCTAATAAATCTTTTCTTTTCTTTTCTTTTTAAGAAGGTCACTAGGAAGTTACTTTTGGAGACAGGGTGGTCCCCTCATCTGACCACATCCACTGCCTACAGCCTAACGTTAGCTGTCCTGCCTTATTCTTAGGAAGGCTCTGGGGAGTGATTCTGAGGCCGTCCTGTGTCTGAGGCTCCTCCACACCAAGAAAGCAGTGAACAATCTACCCCTGAAAGAAAGCTGTCTTCAAAGACAGCATCATTTATACCAAATGGCAGGTCTGTTTGGCTCTTTGGAGCTTGTCAGGGACCACGCATTTTGGATGGAACTTGGACATATCTTAATCCCTGTCAGTTTAGAGCCTTAAGCTGCTAAGGCTTCATTCCTTATGGGCTCTTATTTAAAATTCTGTCTTTAGTGTTAAAACTGTCAAACCTTTGAAGGTAGATCTCTGGATAGAAATTGATTTGAACTATATAGATCTTGAAATAATCCATAGAATAATTTGGGTAAGTACGAGAAATCATGTATTAATGTTATTTCAGTATTTTTTTTATGTTGCTGAGATGTTCAGTTGTTGTTATGTGTTCTGTGCTCGATGTTTCCAGGTCCGGTCAGAAGTTAAAGAACTGGGCGCCTGGGTGGCCCAGTTGTTAAGCGTCTGCCTTCAGCTCAGGTCATGATCCCAGGGTCCTGGGATTGAGACCCGCATCGGGCTCCGTGCTCTGTGTTCCGTGGGAAGCCTGCTTCTCCCTCTCCCACTCCCCCTGCTTGTGTTCCCTCTCTCCGCTGTGTCTCTGTCAAATAAATAAATAAAATCTTAAAAAAAAAAGTTAAAGAACTGAAATAGTCAATATACATTGCACTCACACCTTGTAAATGTAGAGGACCAATTTCTGTCAAACATCAGAAACAACATTCTGAGGCTAATGTGGGATGTCCAGGGATTTTGTTTCTTTAGAGGGTCAACAAGATGCCTATCTTTTTACCAATTAAATAATGTATTTATTTTATTTTCCCCCCTCTTAGTTTAAATTTGCATGGCATTAATTTCCCTTTCAAATATACTATATAGTCGGGGTGCCTGAGCGAGTCAGTTGATTAAGCAACTGGCTCTTGGTTTTGGCTCAGGTCATGATCTCAGGGTCATGAGATCCGGCCCCGTGTGGGGCTCCATGCTCAGCGCGGTGTCTGCTGGAGATTCTCTCCCTCTGCCCATACCCCTGAGTGAATGCCTGTGCGCTCTCTCTCTATCTCTCAAAAAAATAAATAAAATCTTCATATATATAGTCGTGGGGTTTCTGGCTGGCTCAGTTGGTGAAACATGCAACTCTTGATCTTGGGGTTGTGAGTTCAAGCCCCACGTTGGGTGTAGAGATCGCTTAAAAATAAAATCTTAGGGGCGCCTGGGTGGCTCAGTTGTTTAAGCGACTGCCTTCGGCTCAGGTCATGATCCTGAAGTCCCGGGATCGAGTCCTGCATCGGGCTCCCTGCTCGGCAGGGAGTCTGCTTCTCCCTCTGACCCTCCTCCCTCTCATGCTCTCTGTCTCTCATTCTCTCTGTCTCAAATAAATAAATAAAATCTTTTAAAAAAAAATAAAATAAAATCTTAGGGGCACCTGGGTGGCTCAGTCGTTAAGCGTCTGCCTTTGGCTCAGGTCATGATCCCAGGGTCCTGGGATCAAGCCCCGCTTCGGGCTCCCTGCTCAGCCGGGAGCCTGCTTCTCTCTCTGCCGCTCCCCCTGCTTATGATCCCTTTCTAGCTGTCTCTCTCTCTGTATCAAATAAATAAATAAAATCTTTTAAAAAAAATCTTAAAAAAATATATAGTCATTATTTACATTTTATGTCATTCATATTGGTTAAAATTCTTCTCCTCTTAAAATATTATCATAAAAACCAAGAT